TGCTGCCCAGCTGGCCCTGTCACCAGGCACTCACCCTGGCTTTGAATGCCACGAGCTTGAGGATCATCTCCAGAGTGAAGATGATGGTGAAGGCCACGTTGAGGATGTCTGAGATGTAGTTCATCTCCTCTGACTGGTTGTAGTGCTGTAGAGGTGACATGGGGGAGGTGGGCCCTCAGGGCGGGGCTTGCCAGTCTGCAGATCACATTCCCCAAGCCCCTCCTCTTCCTGGGCAGCCCCCGGCCTTCCTTGGACCTCTTCCCACCTGGTTTTAGCTCAGAAGACTAGGAACCTGCTTTAGTAATCCTCTGACTTCCACCAAATCTTAAGAACATGCCTTGGCTCCCCCTGAACCTCAAAAGGCAGAGGGGAGGTTCTCCAAGGCCAAGTCCAAGTTCTGTAGAGTGTGTTTCAGGGCTGTAAGGCCAGAGCTCATTTACATATCAGTCTTGGGTGACCGGGATGGAAGGTCCACCAGGTAGGACTCTATGACAGATGGCATGGGTACAGGAGTAGAGAGAAGATGCTGGGCTCCTTAGTTGGCATCAGTACTGCCTAGTAAAAAGCAACTCACCAAGCTTCCTATACCTGCATACTGCCCCAGTGAGGCCAAGCACTTCGAACAACAGCCTTGGCCTCCTGGACTCACTGCTATGGCCCACCTTAAATCCATGTCCTTATCAGTTTTCCTGGCACTTGCTTACACCCATTTTTGAAAGCTGATGAAGTCCCACCTCTTCCATAAAGCATTCCCAACTAGGCCAGAAGGCTCAGATAGCTCATCCCTCCCTTGCCCACACCTTGGAAGGGCTGGCTTGGCCACAAACACAAGCCATTGCTCATGCCCCCCGTGGCTCAGTGATTCTCTTCCTATATCCTCATACTCGTAAAAGCAGGCAGCCTAGCTGTGCAATTGTATTTATAGGACTTAACAGATCACAGGCTTAATTAAGGCTTGATAACTGTGCTGCTGATTATGATATTGTCTTATGAGGGGTGCACAGCTCCTAAGAGAGATACCTGCTCTATGAATCTGAAACCCATTTTTCTTGGAACCAGAGCCAAGATTCCAGCCAACTCAATCATCCAGATTTGTATCAACATAAGAAAACCAGGGAACACATCTTCTACTTTCTACACTTCCTCCTCTTGCAGATTCACCACACTATCTGTATGCTTGAATTAGCTCCGTAACAAACTCTAAAGATGTTGGTGAGAAAGCCTCTCATTTCTGTGTCCTGCACAGCACCTCACCACGCAGTGCCTGGCGTGTAACAGGCACTCTGGATACATCCCCCGGGAGGATCGGGGGATCCTGACCTGCTCATGTTACCCTGCGCACGGTCCCCATCCTATGTTGAGCATTGCCCTGCCTTCGGGACACCGCTTACCTGCATGCCCAGGCAGATCGCATTGAGCATGATGAGGGCAAACATCAGGTACTCAAAGTAGGAGGAGGTGACGACATACCACACCTGGTACTGGTACGGGTTCTTGGGGATGTAACACCTCAGTGGGCGGGCCTTCAGAGCATACTGTACACATTGGCGCTGCGATGCAACACAATGGGATAGGTCAGCACCAAAAGGCCCCTCTTCCCTCTCCACACCTTCATCCATGGTCTCAGGGAGCCCCACTCTCTGTGCAAGACAGGAACAGCTATGGCCAGGAGCTGCTGACTGAGGGACTCCGTGGACTATTTAGAGGATGAATTCCATTGGGCCTTTGGGTTCCCTTGAGTTATCACAGCCCATTCTGACCATGACTCCAGCCCAGCCCAAGGGCTCTGAAGGACTTTCTCTCTCTGGGCATAACGGGGGTTCCATGAGAAGACCCCTGCCCCCCCACTCCACCAACTTATATTACTTGAGGTTGGAGACAGGTGGGGTGCATGGAGGTTGGGACTAGGCATCAAATGGAGGTTCCGGGGTCACCCCTCTTTACTGGCTAAAGCCTAGGGCTCTAGGCCAGCAGGAGGCCTGCTGGCCTCTGCTCTCCATATCTAGCAGGTGGTCCAGGCACCTGGTTCTTGTCCAGCTCACAGTTCTTGTACTCAGTCTCGCCCTGCTCCTGGAAGGTGACGATGACAAAGCCCACGAAGATATTCATCATGAAGAAGGCAATGAGGATGATGTAGATGATGAAAAAGATGGCCATCTCCACGCGGTTGTTGTAGATGGGGCCCGTGTCCTCCTGATTTGAGTCTATGGCTTTGTACAGGAGCCTTGGGGTGGGTAGAGAGGAGAGGATGGGCAGGGCTGGAGTAATGAGTCTGAGATCCAGGCAAGGAAGGGTGGGTGTTACTCCACTGACCAAGGAAGCCTTCTGAACACTCAAATGAAGGTAGGGCTGGGCCAGGGAAGGCTGGAACCGATCCTGGCATGGTTGTACCTTCCCACAAAGTGCTCCACCCCCAATCAGTAGGGTTCCCTGGTGGGCATAGAGGCATTGCTCTTCAGGGGCTCTGGGCACAATTTGTCAAAGTCCCCTGGTTTGGGTCTTTTTGCAGTGATTCACACAACTCCAACAAACCAGGGAGTCAGGCCTTGAACCCTGGCACCACCCCTACTGAGCCTGTGGTGGACCCAGGCCTCAGCTCTCACTCACTGAGGCCATCCCTCAAAGGTGGAGACTGTGAAGAGTGACATCATGGCTGAGAGCACATTGTCGAAGTGGAAGTCGCTGTGTATCCACTGGCGGGGACGCAGCTCTATCTGCATGGGGTCTGCGTCCTTGTACACATAGTAGTAGCCCCTGATGTGAGGAGATCCAGTCACACTGCTGAGTGTGGCTGGGTTGCCTCCACCCCTCCCCCCATCCTCTAGGCCCTGGGCAGTGAGTGTGCAGGAGAAATGGAGGTCCAAATCTGGGGCCAGGAAAGACAGCACTGGATGCTCTCTCCCCAAGCCACCCAAGGAAAGAGGCTTTCATGAGCTTCCCTCCAGGGCCTAATGACTCATGTCTCCCAGTTCTCAGCCTGAGGGCCACTGTGCCCTCACATGAGGTCCCTGCCCGGTGTCCCCTCTCACTGCGCCCCTCAGCCACAGAGCACCACACACCTGCACTCCTCTTCCGTCATCTTGGAAGCATCATTGCAGCTGAAGAACTTCCCCTATGTGCAGGAGGGGAGGGAGGGATTGAGACGTGTTGTTATGGAAACAGGTTAGAAAGTGGGCTGGCGAGGTGCACGGGGACAGGCCATGTGGAAGGAGCCTCTTTCTCTTGGAGGGATGCTGTGTCTTTCAGGAAGTGACACCATCATCCATCCACACAGCTCCTGCACTGGCTTTCCCACCCAGCCTGGATGTGACCAAGGCTGAGGAGCCAGTGCCTTCGTTGGGCATTTGCTGAGTGCCCTAGCCAGGGCCTGAGGGAACGCAACCGTGAGTAGAGACAGGACTGCTCCTCCCTCTGAGAGCTGTGGGCACTGAGCCCCAACTTCCAGGGAATGCAGGAACCCTCCCCTCATTATCTCCCCCATCATCATCACAGAGCAATGGCCTTTCTCAGCCCACCTGCCTTCTGCAAGAAGAGTGCACAGATGCCAGGTGGCCTCAGCTTGTCCTCAGAGTCAACAGGGCTCCCAGCATGCCCACCCCCAAGGCCTGAGGAGGTGGGCCCTGTGCACCCTGAAACTGACTTCTGCAAGAACACTTGCTCTTTTGTCTATGCCACATATTGGACACCTGAAAAATGATTTTTGCTCCACTAAAAGGAGTTGCTTGCTAGGTCTTCATGGGGCACCTTGGGGAAATGCAGAGAGGGAAACAGCTCAGCTAAGGACACAGCTGAGGCTGGGGCCCCACTGCTTGGCACCTGCAGGTCTGGGCTGTCCTAGAACACGCCTCTTTAGGGAGGAGAGGTGGAGGTCCTAGGGGAGAAACTACTGGGCAGGATTCAGGACTAGTTTAATATGGAAAGCAAAATGAAGCCCATCGGTGTAATGTGGAAAGCATGCAGCAGGTTTCCATAGGAGAATGTGACATAAAACGCCAGTGGTGACTAATGTGCTCACAGTGGCTAGGTAGGCAGGAGCTGAGGACTTTTAATGAGGCTGAAACACAGAGGCTGGGGCATGGCACTCTTGCCTGGAAGGCACACAGGATCCCAAGGAAGGATGGCTCCACATTTGTTCCTTCAGGGTGTTTGTCTGTTGGGCTCCTATGTGCCGAGCCCAGAGCTGGGTGCCAGGGTAAGGGATGAGTCAGACACAGACTCTGCCCTAAGGTGGATTCTGGGCCCAGGCTTGATGGAGGAGGAGCAGGGGGTGGGGCACAGCCCTTTGTTGGGCAAGGAGGAAAGGCTGTGCTTCTGGCTGGCCTTCTAGGACAATGACCGATGGGTCCCATCTCCCTGAGGGTCCTCTAGGAATCCCACCCTGACTACTTTCCACAAAGCCTAGTCTCTTCTCTCAAGGAGGAACATGGGGTTTACCTTGTGACCCCCTCAACCTTAGCAGAGACCCTAGCCCATCTATACAGGAAATGCTTCATACATGTTTGCTGAATGAATGAATGATGAGATGATACCACTGCATGTTTAAGACTGACGTTGTATAATCATGACTTCAAAAGATTGTACTTGGGGGCAGGAGTGGATTGGATCATGACAGGAAGTATCAAGGGTGAAACACTCAGGTATCAGTTTCTGTGTTCTGCAGATGAGCTAAGATCCAGAGGCAACCAGAAATCAGAGAGAGACAGAGAGAGAGAGAGAGAGAGGGAGATTGGAGTCTGAGAGAGAGCTCGAATAGCTCTGCTCTCCAGGAAAGTGAGAATAGAATTAGGTGAGCTCCAGATGTGAGATGAAGGACTGTCACCGCCACAGGCTTCTGGTGCTGTGGGTGATGCCAAACATCCCAGCTGGGAACATGGGCTGCAGAATCACACTGCAACAAAAGAGGTGGAGCAGGCGGGGCTGGAGGGGAGATGTTACAGACAGGCCTGGCAAGGTGGGAGGAGGTGGGCAAGGTGGGTGTGACTGCAGGGCTTGTAATCCTATCTACATGAGGCAGAAGTAGGAGAATCTTGGTCTGAGACTGCCCTGGGGAAAACCTCGAGACCCTATCTTAAAAATAACTTAAAGTAAAAGCGGCTAGAGGAGTGGTTCAAGTGGTAAAGTGCCTACCTAGCAAGCTTGAGGTCCTGAGTTCAAACCCTAGTACCACCAAACAACAACAAAAACTATGCATTCATGGACATTTGTTTTCAAAATTGGGGCTCCTTTTGCTTGGGTAAGAGTAGTTGGCTCTTACCATAGCATAAAAGCTGCCCCCAGACGGGGAAGTGGGGGGTTGCTTGGGTGGGCGGGGCCTCACCTTGAAGAGCTGGACACCAATGCAGGCAAACATGAACTGCAGGAGGGTGGTGACCAGGACGATATTCCCGATGGTGCGGATGGCCACGAACACACACTGTACCACGTGCTGGGGAGACAGGGCCCAGTCAGAGCAGGCCTGCATCAACTCACCCCAGTACCCCTGACAGGGAGCCCAGAAGTGGAAGACTTGCAGCCTCCCAGCAAACTAGAGGCAGAGAGAGGCTCACGGGGAAGGCCTGGTGCCCAGCTCATCCTTACCCCTCTGTGGCTGGGCTGAGGTTTCTGGAGTGGGGAACTGGCAGCCCCTCCCCCTGGGTCCTGCCCTGCTCTCTCTCACCTTCAGCCCTTTGGCTCTGTTGATGGCTCGCAGCGGTCGGAGCACCCTCAGCACCCTCAGGATCTTCACCACGGAGATGGTACTGGACCTGTGGAAGGCATGGAGCGCGGTGGGACCCAGGGCAGTGAGCTCCAGCAGCACAGGACTGCCATGGAGGCTTCAAACTCCTGCCTTGATCTCACCACCTGGCACCTTCCTGCCTGAACCTCCTGCCTTACCCAGGGGAAAAGTGGCCGCCTAATTACCGCTTCTCCCTCTGGCTATAGGCTCTGTCTCTCCCATCAGACTGGGAGTGACCTGAAGGCAGGGACTATGGTCCTCATGAGACAGGGGCTGCCTTCTCCTCTCCACCTCCCTTGCCAGTCTCTGCAAGGGAGGGTCCCCCATCCACTGCCCTGTGAGACACTCGTTTTGCAGCAAAGTGCCCACCCACAAACTGCTGCTCTGGGGCCTTGACACAGAGGGGAAAGGACCAATGCCTGGGCCTGGGCCCTGCCATTGCTCACTCAAGTCCCATGGAGATGAGGGATACAGCCACCACCAGCAGGTCCAGGATGTTGAAGTAGTTCCGGCAGAAGGAGCCCTTGTGCAGGAAGGCCCCATAGGTGGTCATCTGGAGAGACAGAGGTCATCTCTGGTGGGAGGAGCTTGGGGAGCAGGCTGGTCCCCCAGAGAAGGGCATCCTTCCCAGCCTGCTCAGGAGGAGTGTCTGCTGAGGCGAACAGCTGCTGGAAGGTGTCACGTGACTCAACTCCCTAGGCTCACTCTCCTGTCCTCTGCCCACAGGACAAGCATGGGACTCTCAGAGATAGCTGAGCAGAGCTTTGCCCTCCAGGGGCACATGCTTTTCTTCACATGCAATAGGGTGCTACAGAATGGGAAGTTCTAGCCCTCCTCTCTCCCGAAGGGCAGGATAGAATTCCTCCTCCTCTCCAGGAAGCTTCTTGGGAAATCCTTTTGGCTCAGGGGTTGGGATGGAAGGACCTCAGTTCTTCACCAGGCCTCTGGGCCCCCTCTCCAACCTCTGCACCCTCTTGTTCTTGCTCTCCCTTATTTTCTATCTTATGTTTTCTAATAGTCTCCTGCACAGACATATTACACTTCCTGAAAGCCTGACTGGGTGGCAGTTTTTCCTGGCATGTAAGGCACCCCTTAGGATTTTGTCTCATCTTGCCTTACCAGCCCCAGTATCCAGCTCTCCCCTATATGTGCACTGCCTCCCAGCCCATAGGGTCCACTTGCTCCTCTCTGAGCACATCCCCAAGTTTTCTTCTAATGTGTTAGCCAATTGTCACCCTCTGAGACTGCCCAGGCTATCTCTCTCTAATGAGGTCTTGCCCTACTGTAAGGTCTATCTCTAATGCCCCCCCGCCAAAGTTCTCCTTGACCTTGGGGCAACCGCTGTCTCTCCCTGCTCCACTCATTCAGTAGTTGAAGCTCTGAAGTGAGGACCATCCCCAGTCTGCTCTGGCCTGCTCTGTGTACCCAGCTGTGCTCTCCTTTCCTTGTGGGTAAGGGTGAAGGCTCGGCTTACTGGGTCTTAGTCCCAGAGCCCACCACCCCTGTGATGGCCTGAACCCAGTGTGCCTACCTCAATATTGGCAATCGTACTGTGGATCAGGCTTGAAAAGGACAAGCTGGGCAGAACCGCCAGAAACCCAGCCAGGGCAATGGCTACTTCTCATGGCACTCTTGGAGGGAAAGGCTTTTCCCAGACACTCCTAATAAGTAAGTAGTCCCAGGTCTACTCTTTCATTAATCATACCATCAAGTGGAAAAAAATGCCAAGGGCTTTGTAGAGAGGGGCTATGCCCTGCTGAGAGGTGGCAGGCCACGACTGGGTGTACTTCATGTCTCGAAACTTCACCCAGTCACCTGCTCACCTGCTAGGCCTGAACGAAGTCTGTGTGGTCTCCTGGGGCCCACGAGTCTTTTCTGCTGCATCCACCTTCTTCCTGCTTTTCTCCCGCCCCTTATCTCAGCCTCTGAGTGAGCTCAGTGTATGGGAGTTGGAGCCGCATCAGCCCAGGGCTGCCTGTCCCATAGCCCTCACTCACCTTGAGGACAATCTCCACAGTGAAGACAGAGGTGAACGCGATGTCAAAATACCCAAGGATCTGGTGGTAGAGCAGGGGAGGGAGCAGTCAGTGAGAGGAGCAGAGCGATATGTCACCATCACCACCACTACCTTCATCATACTCACCACCATCACCACCATCATAATTACCACTGCCACCACCATCCTCAGCTTCACCAACACCACCAATTTCATCACCATCCTCATCAGCACCTCCACCATCTTCACCATCACCACCACAATACCATCACCACCACCTCCACCATCACTGTCCAGCTCAGGCAACCAGAGCCTGTCTTGCCCCTGCTATGACGGCACTGTTCAGAAGCAGTGCAGTGGACAGTTCTGGCCCTCCAGGAACTTAAATGCTGTGAAGCTCATGCCTATAGCCACATAGAGGATGCAGGTGAACTCTGAGCCCTAGAGTAAGATGGGGGTAGCTGAAGCCTGGAGTGGAGGAGGGGTGCAGAGGGCACCTGCCATCACCTGATTCCTCACTGACTCAGCTCGGATGGGATCCTCAGCCGCCAGAGCAGCGCTGCTGAGCAGGATGAAGAGCAGGATGAAGTTGGTGAACCAAGTGGCATTGACGATGCGATGACACAGTACACGGATCCTGGTGGGGTGGGGGTGGGAGTGGGGCTGTGAGCTTCAGGAAGCTCAGGCCCCCAGCCTCTATCCTGACAGGGACACTGGATTCACTCCCTGTGCCCGAGGACAATGAAGAATTATGGCCTTGCATCTGCATGGTCCTCTGACCAGACAGGCAGGGGCTCTGCTCCTACTGTGTTCTTTCGGTCTTAGTCCATCTCCCAGTGGAGCCCAAGCTGAGCTCCATCTCCAAGGCAGACAGGTGAAACTCCACGAAGTCTAAATTCTATGTATTTTAAAGCTGAAGGGCTGGGGGAGTGGCTCAAGTGGAAAATCGCTTGCCCAGCAAGCATGAGACCCTGGGTTCAAGCCCTTGTACCACAAAAAATGTTAAAAATTATGAAGTCAACAAAAACTACAGCTTTCCCTAACTCTCACTTCCTTGCACTGTCTAGCACAACTATTAGAAGGGAAGCAATAAACATGGTCCCTTGTAGGTATAAGCAACTGATACAATTTAAAAAGCATTAGTTTTCCCAGAAATACTAGTATTTTTTTTTAAATGTTTTTTTCTTTGCAGTGCCAGAAATCCAACCCAGTGCCTCATGCATGCTGGGCAAACACTGTACAACTGAGCTCTACTGCAGCCCAATACTAGCAGTATAAATAGGCCACAAGATCTTAAGCTTAAGGAGTGAGTTTTGCATATCTCAGGGCAGGGAAGCAGCTATCCTGAGGCCCAATCAGTCTCCCACCCCCGAACACACACAGGAGCCAAAGCATTGCCTACTTATTGGTGGGGCTGAAGATGAAGAAGGAGCTAGCTTCTGGAATTGGCACTGCCTTCTCTTTCAGCTGCAGTTCAGCCAGGGGACGGGGTCGGGGGCTCACTGGGATCTCAGGCTCATCTTCTTCATCATCCCCTGTGGGGAGAGGAGACAAATTAGAGGTGTCTTTCCAAACTTTGCTATGTGCTTGGCTTCTTCTATGCTCAGAGTCCTCCTAGGAGCCTCTGAAGCCAGCAAGTCAAGATGTAGCAGGCCAATGCAGGATACTAGGGCATCAGGAGGATCTAGCCTGGGCATCTTCTTCACCCTCCATAGAGCAGACTTGAACTGTCAGAGTCTGTGGTACTGGCCCAGAACCTTCTAGAAGCAGGACAAGGAACAAGGCCACAGAAACTTCTTGTTTCATCTTCTGTCTCAAGGTGACCCATAACGCCTCAAACACACACTAGCTGGGCAGGGGCTACCTAATTCAAGAGACATGAGTTCTGATCCTGGCTCTGCCACTACCTGGCTGTGCAGTGCTAGATTCTGTGCCCTTCCTGAGTTTCAGGTTCCCAATTTGAGACACTGACAAGGGGAGGTGGGTTATGGAAGTCATTGGACTTTGAGGTCCCCTCCTTGTCTAGGATTCTAAAAATAATGGTTTAGTAGAGGAACCTTCAGCATGGGAAAAGGCAATTAAGAAATCTTTTACTTCAGACAGGCTCCAGAACCAGGGCAGGCACAGGGGTGGAGTAGGAGGCAGAGGGAGAAGAGACGGATATTCCAAGCAGGCCTGTATTGCGCTGGGGACATGTCTAAAGTCAGGATTCCTCTTGGTTTCCTCACTGGACAGTTGCTTCCTCCCCTTCTGTGGGCTGGCAGAGACTCTCAGGGAGGCCATGAGCTCCCAGAGTTGGCTCTCTCCATCATGGATACAGGAGTCCTCACTCCAATCTAAATCACATTCCAGGCCTCTCTGCTCTTGAGAAGCTGGAACTCTTACTTCTTCCACAGAACATGACACTTCCTGCCCTTCCTGGACTGGCATGGACTGAGAGACACATTTTCTGCTTAATTACAGTGATTATTGATTGTTAGAGTTACTATCTTTTTTCCTCTAATTCTTTTCTCTTTTGTCTAAGCCCATTTTATTCCTTTTATTGCACATATCTTTTGCTGTAAGCCATTTCAAATTATTTTTAGAAAGAATCTGGGTAGTCAGGTGTGGTGGTACATGCTTGCAATCCCAGCTATGCAGGCCATAGGTAGGAGGTTCAAATTTTGAGGCTGGTCCTGGGTAAAAGCATGAAACCCTATCTGAAAAATGACAAAGCAAAAAGAGTTGGAGGCATGGCTCAAGTGGTAGAATGCTTGCCTAGCAAGTGCAAGGCCTAGAGTTCAAATCCCAGTATCACCAAATATATACATAAAAAACATTCAATGCCCTTGGTAAGACCTTTCTTACAACTGCCCTATATGCACAGCTTCCTCCCTCTCTAGTTCCTTCATTTCCTCCTCACCTGGGATTTCCTACCACAGCACCCTCCTACATGCATGCCAGCTACTCTCATCTAATAGATGGTAATTGTTAGGAGAAGCAACTCCAAATGAATCACTCTCAGTATTCATTTCTGACAGATATTTAGAGAAATTTTGTCAGCCTTACTTATACCACCTCCATTTTCCCCATGTTTCACTTTGCAAAATCCTTCCTTGTGTTCTTTCAGCTTATTGAATGCCTACTCTGGGCCAAACACTGTGCCATTTGAAGCACAGAAAGGCCTCTTGGTGCTCAGAGTCACTGGGGCAAACAGATGGTAACCAGCTGATTCCCCAAAGAGATGTAAAATTGCTCCCAAGGACCCATGGGAGCTTGAGAGCTCTTGGGTCCTAGGGTTCCTCCAGGTGGCCTCTTAGGATTAATCCAGCCTGGATCTGCTTCCTCCATGTGTCTTCTTGTGGGTCAAGATGGGTAGGATTTCTGTAGCAGACACTGGTTATGTGCACTTAGGAGATGTCTGCAGTTCAATCTTACTGTGTCTTCTCCATCCTTTCTCCCATGGACCCATTGTCTCCTCTTGTGGCTTTTCACACAATGTCCATCACGGCTCTATTCTAGACACTGCATGGTGAGCCAATTGTCTCATCCCCACATGGATGATGGGGCTTCCATTAGGATCCATTCTGTGTGGCTAGCAGGGAGGCCTTGGGCACCCATTAGCTTTGTGCTCCTTGAAAAGCAAGTCCTCAATACTGGAGCACATAGCTAGTTAGCACTCAATACACACATGCTAAAGTAAATGGCTTATTTTCAAGGCTAGATACAGAAGGGATGTCTTCAGTGTTCTGACCTCCATCTGGACAGGTCCAAGTAGAGGACATATGGGGAGCATTCAGCACCACCTTTAATCCCAGAGCCCTGCTCCAGTCCAGGCTCCAGGCTCCTACCTGGGAAGTCAGCTGAGGGGTAGGGGTCCTTTACCTCGTTGACGTTAGATTCAAACTCATCAATTTTCAGCTGGAGGAAGGAAGACAATGAAGATGATGGTGAAGCAACAGCTGCAGTTTGCCCTTACTGAGCACAGACTGGAGAGCCAGTGTAGCTTTTGGTTTACTGTACCCACCCCCACAACAAGCTGAGGGATGAATGACAGCATGCTCATCTCGTCTTACAAGTGAGAAGCCAGGCCCAGCAAGGAAGACAGACCAAAGTCAAGACCTGAGTCTGTCCAAGTCTGTCTTTACTGAGCCTTCTGCCTGGCTCTCCAGAAGAGAGCTGAGCTCTCCAGGTTAGGATCCCCAGCCCCTCAAGGGCCCAGTGCCCTGGTTCCTCCAACCCCATTTCCTCCGTCTCCAAGAATAGTGAGCCAGGCTGGAATAAGCAGGGCAAGTGATGATGAGAAGCAAGTGGGGGGCTCTGAACAGAAAGTGGGTTTCATGGGGAGATGGGATACCTTCTTGCTTTGGGCAGGAAGCTGGGACTCTGAGGAAATCTGCTTCCAGGTTGAGGTGGCTGCGCCTCTCAGCACAGAGGTGCCCAGGGGAGATGTTGGCTCTCCCTCCAACAGAAAGCCAGGGGATGTCTTTTCCTGGCAGATGATCTACCTTCTGGTAGGCTCCTCCCCCCCTACAGCCCCACCAGTACCCTGAGGCACAAGGAGAGAGAGCCAAGGGACCTTCAGAGCCCTACCATCCAACCTGTAAAATATTCATACTAGGTCTCACCTTGGCAGTAGTAGGGATTCCCTCTCCCTTGGGCTTCTGCTCCATCTTCTTGGCTGTTATGGCCTTCTCCTCCTCCAACTTGTCCGGGAGACCCCTGAGTTGGAAACCCAAGGTGGAAGCCTAATGACAATGATCTCAGGGATCTGCTCAGCCTAACAATACCCTCAAGAGGATCCCACTCCCAGGGCTCAGGGGTGCTGTGGAAGAAGAAGCAGCATTGGACACCAAGTGGGAAAGGCAGTAGGCCTGGGCAAGTCCTTTCTCTGTGAGAAGACCTGACGCACTGCTTCGGCCTGAGGGCCACTGTTTAGCCATAGTCAATGTGAGCAGGTAGTGTACCGATGGTTCATACAGAATTCAGAATAGAAGCATGATCATCCAGGATGGTTCCAACTCTTTGGAAATGCCTGGACTCCCTTGCTCACAGGGCTGGGTGTCTCATTTCTGTAGGTACAGGCAATGGAAGAGGCAGGCCACCGTCTAGAACCCCGTTACTCCAAGTGTGGTTCTCCTGCGGCCAGAAGCATGGCACTGGGATCATGCCAGAAATGCAGAACCTTAACTCTACCTGACCTGGTTCAGCCCAATTGGATCAGAATCTGCACCTTAACAAGATCCCCAGCTGGTTCATTTGCTGAGTTTGAAAATGCTGTATAGACCGGTCCTGCTTTCACTCCTAGGGGGGGATCAGACTACAGAGAATGACATGCTACATCATAGGCAGAGAGACCTGTGAAGAACTGAGAAGCCAATCCCTACATCACAGAGGGAGGATACCTTAGGCTTAGGATAGGAAACAAGTCCATCCAAGAGGCAGGGCTGGGAGGAGACATTTCAGAACCCACTAGGCCCTGCCATCACATTTCCTGAGGCCAATCTAGAAGGCCAGCCTGCTTCTAGTCCTGATCAAGGAATACCTTCTAGGACCTTAGCAGCCCCAGATGTCCTGTGGCACCCACGGAGCAGGTGTCATATGGTCCCTGAGACTCTGGCTTCAGGAAAGAGCCTCCTGCAAAGAGCCAGGAGGCTACGACTGTGGCCAGCACTCCTGCTCGCTCCTGAGGAGGACAAAACACTCACTTGGACATCTTTCTTCGTTTTCTCTCCTCAGCCTTGGCCTTCTGGGCAGAAGTCAGGCTCTCTGCCTCAGCCAGGTTGTCCACAGCAATGGCCAGGAAGACATTGAGCAGGATATCTAAGAGAGACCAGCTAAGGAGCCTTGGGTGGAAGGCAGCCCCTGGGGAAGGAACCTCCCCCTGCCTGAGTGTTGGCAGGCCCTAAACCCTGGTGGGGTAGTCAGAGCGTCTCTTGCCAGAGTACCCCACAGAAGGGTACGGGCCCAGAACATAGACTAGAGTGTTCAGGGAAGCTTGCCTGCAGGGGGTTTCTGTTATGGGGTTTAAATCCATTTAGACCATTTCCTTCCAGAATTGACCCCAGCTCCCCAACGGGGAGGCAAAGCAAGTGAGAGCCATGCTGGTCACATGACTCAAGGAACAGCACCTCAGTGCCTCCCTTGCTGCTCCCTAGCCACCATATCAGACTCCACAGTGCAGGCAGCAGGACCCCTCAGACATCACCAGTATCTCTCTGTCCCACCCACCTCGCCCTCCCATCTGCACATCTCAACTTCATCCTGTGCTTGCTCAATCTTCCTGGCCCCAATGTTTAGACCGACTAACCTGGCCATGGCTCCAGCTCCCCCCTGCCTGCCTCCAAACCTTTAGATCAGGCTGCCTCACCTACTCCACTGTTTATCACCTAAGCCCTGTGTCTCCTCCTACCCATTGCAGGCTCACCAAGCAGGCAGGGATAAATTCCTCCCCCTGTGGTTCGCAAAGCTTTCTTGTGGAAGGACATATTCTACAGTTCACCTTGTCATGTCTTATCCCCCACCCCATGATCCCGGGAGCTCTCCACTAGCTGGAGGGCTTAGCTGCTTGGCAAATGGGTACCCATGACCACCCTCCCCCTGCTTTTAAGCCCTTTCCCCATCCCGTCCTCAGTTCTTCTCTGCACCCTGCTCCAAGGGGATACAGTTGCCACTGACGAAAAGGATGATGAAATAAATGCACACAAGCACACCAGGGTAGGATGGCCCTCCGTAAGCCATGATCCCATTATACATCATGGAGGTCCAGTCTTCACCTGTCAGGACCTAGGGGAAAAGAGGGAGTGAGAAGATGAGAAGACAGGGACACAGAGAAACCCAAGAGGCTTCTGTCTGGAGTGCATTGCTCAAAAGACCTCTTCCAATTCTGTTCATTCTCCCATGCCTGTTTTCTTCACTCCACAGCCCAGCTCTCCAAGGACCTAAAATTTTTATCAAAGCTCTCCAGGGCCAAGGAGTTTGACCGTGGGGTCACCACTTCCTCAGGCTGAACTGAACACATTCATCCAGGCCCCTGTCACCCCAGCCTTCAGAAATAGGGCAAAATGTCAGATCCCTTGAAAGGCACACAGTCTGGCCAGCCAGTGGGGTGAATGGAAGAAAGAGAGGGTGAAGCCATCCATGGGACCCCCACTGATTGCCACCTATTGGCCTAACTCCTGGTAAAACAGGGGATATGACCAGTAAGACACCAGCTACACCGAGGGGAGCATTACCACGCTTTCTGCTAAGAAAGCTCTGAAGGCCTCTCACTGAGTCACAGCCATGGTCCCATGGTGGCTTCTAGCAAGCAAATGGTGGCTCCAGAGTGAGAAATGGTCCACAGGTTCCTAGGGCTTGGCCAGCCTTGGGAAGGGAGCATTCACCTTGTCCGACTTTGCCTCAGAGACATGAGCAGCTCAGCTCTGAACTCCCAGCCACCCCAACTCCAATTATTCATCAGCAGTGGGTCAACATCCTGCTAGACACCAGGGACCAAAACAAATCAGACAGACCAGATCCAATGGCAAGAAGCCTGGACAATGGGGAGCCTGAGAAGAACATTGAACTCAACTATCGGATTAGAGAAGGCTTCCTGGGCAAGGTGATGCCTGCCCTGATCTCGAAAGACAAGAAGCAGGTTTTAGCAAGTGTTTGGAAAGACGGATGCACAGGTGGATGGTCTACCTGGAAGACGCTAATGAGGGCCTGGGGGAAGTTGTCAAAGTTGCTGCGCCGCACCTCCGTGTCCTCGAAGTCGTACCTGCCCCCAAAGAGCTGCATGCCCAGCAGGGCGAAGATGACGATGAAGAGGAAAAGCAGCAACAGTAGAGAGGCGATGGAGCGGATGGAGTTGAGCAGGGATGCCACCAGGTTGCTCAGTGATGTCCAGTACCTGAGTAAGAGGAGCAGCAAGGTAGGGAGGAGGCAGAACCCTCTCACCTGTGATCCCAAAGTGTGGGTGGGCTTGGGGGAGAGACTCAAGACTGATGGATGCACAGGGAAGGGCTGCCTGGGGGATGGAAGCCTGTGGATTCATGGCAGGCCATATTCTCTCCTTCCTGTAGAGCACTTATCCCAGTAGGGCTGTGAATGAACTTCTGGTCCTATCATTAGGCTAGAGACCCCAGGAGAGTAAAGACCAGTTCTCTCTCTTTTTTTACTCATTCTAGCAAATTCTAGTTGCCCTTTAACTGCTGTTTCAGTTGCCCATAGCCAACCATGGAAGCCCTAAATATAGTACAATGAGAGAGAGAGAGAGAGAGAGAGAAAGAACAAACTTATTCATATAAATTTTATTATAGGATATTATTATAATTGTTCTATTTTATTATTAGTTGATGTTGTTAATCTCTTACTTATCTAACTTATAAATTAAACTTTATCATAGATATGGGTATATAAGAAAAAACATAGTGTATACGGGCTCAGCATTACTCATGGTTTCAAGCATGCACTGGGGGGTCTATCTGAAGTGGATGAGGAGACCACTGTAAACCAATGTTTCTACATTTCCTTGTCTTCTCTGCTCTCCTCTTTTCTTTTTTCTTTTTGGCAGGATTTGAACCTGCACAGGGAAACCCCAGTGGATTTCTGGTTCATCGCCTTAACCACTCAGCCAGGATTCCATTCCTCTTAGTTTCTTATTTCCATCCCCTTTCCCTACTTCCTTTCCTTCTCCCTCCCATCTTCCCTTTCTTCCCTCTCCTAGCCTTTCCTTTTCTATTCTTCCTTTCTCTTTTCTACTACCCCCACCCTCCTGCTCTGCCATAGACAATGGTAAGATAAAAGGAGAGAAATGAACTTCAAGGGGGAGTCTATGATTTCTCTTCCCCAGAGGAAGGTTGTTCAAAGAGGGAGGGGAATTCTGGGCCAGGGCCACACATGAACTTGTCAGACCCCAGAGCATGGGAAAGAAGACAGCTGTAGACACCTGGGAGCTGGAAGCCCAGCCACCCAAGCTCACTTGGTGATCTTGAAGATCCTCAGGAGGCGGATGCAGCGGAGCACAGAGATGCCCAGGGGAGTCATGGCGCCTGACTCCACCAGCAGGAGCTCCAGGATGCCGCTGCACACCACAAAGCAGTCGAAGCGGTTGAAGATGGACATGAAGTACTGGTGTAGGCCCAGGCCATACATCTTCATTAGCATCTCGACAGTGAACAGGACCAGCAGCACCCTGTTGGCGACATCTGCAGGTGGGCAGCACAACCTAAGCATTACGTTCCTTTCCTCTCCTACCTCCAAGCCTCTGCCCTGGCTAAGCCTCCACACAGCACATCACCCCAGATTTCCAAGGCACCAACTTTTCTTAAACCTTCAAAACCCAGTAAAACCTGGTGAAATTCACCCAAGTTAAGTCATACTATATTTAACAGGAAGAGAATTGTAATCCTTTTAATTTCATGTTAAGGTCATTAAGTTTGCCCATTGCCTTGCCCTGCCCCTTCCGGGAAGACTGCCATCAACGGTCCTTTGTGTTTCACTTCTTTCTTGGTCAACTATAGACCCTCCATGGTCATCTATACAACTCTCCAGGGTCAACCATCACCTTCATGCTGCCAAATTCAATGGACATTTAACTCTGCTTCTCCTGTTCTCCTAGCAGCAGTGGGCTCTGCTGAATATCCTCGTTTTTTCAAACATAAACATATTCTCTCTTTCTCTCTCTCTCTCTCTGACTTCTGTGACACCACATCCTTCTGGTCTTCCTCTACTCCTCTGGCTTCTGTTAAGCCACCTCTGCAGATGCATTCTTTATGGGGTCATTGAATGCTGGACTTGAGCCACACACTTGAGCATGTGCTCATAGTCATAGTGGTGGTCATAGTCAAATGTCATTCCCAGATTTAGTTCTTTAGAGATTTAGATTGGTTTACTGAGATCCAGAACTATTTTCCCATCTACTTTCTGGACATGTCCATATCTCTCAAAGGTAACTCAACTGTGTCCAAGCCCAAGCTAATGGATGGATGCTGGCTGTCCTCTCTACCCACATTGACCATCTTCCCTACAGTCCATTTATCTGCATAGACCAGGAACCTCAAATTCACCCCTCATTCCTCTTGGTGGGCTGTGTTGTCATTTCAACATATGGTCATTGACAATACATGGCAGGGCATGGCACATTCAAGGGACTCTCAAGAAGACTGGTTGCAATGAATGAATGAATGAATGGATGCGTGCATCTGATTATTTCCTACCTATAGAAAATATGTCTTCCATTCCTTTCATTTAAAAATTTTAATATGTTTCATCACTTTAAACACCGTCCTTTTGAACTGTTCTATTATCTCCAGTTCTTGGGGTTGTTAGCTCTTGGCTGGACCCAGTGACTCTTCCTCAGGGTGACTTTGTTCCTTATTTGGTTTGTAATTTTTTCTCATGAGCTCATTATCAGGGAACATTTTTCTCTGCAGGGATTCTGTATGCCTTGGCTTGAGAGGTGTCATTAAAGAGTAGTTGTGTGTGCTTCTCTTGGACTCCCTGGGTATTTCACTTATCTGTGACTAGTTTTTTATGGTTCTATCCCTTCTTATAAGACTTGCATCATGAAAAGTAGTGTAAATCAGACCCCAAACCTATACAGGGGACAGATTGGAGTTTCATTTTTCACTTGAGATATTTTTTCTTCTTCTAGCTCCTCCAGCAGAGATAAACTGATGGGCAGTGAGATTTTGGTTTCCCTACACAGGGACAGCCTTTCTGGGCCCTGACTCCATGTACGTGTCAGTACATGTAGTCTAGTTTCCCACTCAGGCAGACTCAGACCTCTGTCCCAGGTCCCTATGTAAGCATTAAGAGCCCAGCTGCCACCCCTGAAGGTTTTGGTGCAGGTCTAAAATGCCTCTAGCAGTCTGCTTATAAGCTCCCTGCTCTGTTGTTGGGTCACCTCTTTGTTTCTGCCACCCAGAGACTTCCTTCTCACTCTTTGATGTATTGTTATCACAACTTATGTAGTATTAACACATCCTTGTAGTGGGGAGGGCTCCTAGTTTGTCCACCATGTCATTGGAACTGGTCCTTCTTTCTGTTACCCTATTCTGTCACGGTCCAGAGCTCTGCACCCAGGGGGACATTGAGTTCATGGGTGATGCTGACCAATTTCCCTTCTGCCAAGGCTGGTCATTCAAAGACTCAAAACTGATCATGATATGCTCATAATTTTATGTTGGCTTCTCTTTCCCCAAAGCTTAAGCTAATATCATATGACAGTATGTGAGGTCCCCATGAGGAAACCCAATTCCTGCTACTCTCTCAGTCACATACACAGTTCTGCGGCTCCCTGAACTCATCAGACTGTTTTACATCTTCACATCTTTGCAGGCACTGTTCCTCCTGCAGGGATCTCCACCAACCTTTGACCACTGGGCCTTTGAGATCCACAGAGCACCAACATCTCCTCTGCTGCAACCCTTCCCTTGCTACCTCATATTTACTCAGTCTTTGCCCTCCCTAGGTGAATGTGAAACTATTTATTAATATCTGTCCTTTTCTCTGACTAAGTGCACTTCTTAAAGTCAAGAGCAGTGAATTAGCTCTGTATCCTGAGTTCTTTTTCCCCTGCCTTACATACTATGTGCACTCAGTAAATAGTTGGTGAAAGATTGCTGGTTTTATAGTAGGATTTGAACTTGAATGCTTGGAGCTCGAAAGTACTGGTGATTTTACATGCAATGGTCTTGAATTGAAATAATTTTCCCAGATACCTGAGCAAGTACCTAAAAGTTGTCCCAATGCATTGCTGACCCTGTCCCTGTAACAATGCCATGAGGAGGACAGTTGGGTGTTTGATCTTGCCCTTTGAAGTTTCTGTTTTCCTACTCTAAAAGGAGAGAGTTAGACCAATGATCCAGCACCAGCACTCTGTAATTTCTAGACCTTAGCAGGTTTGGACATTGAGCACCACACTCCCTTTCTGGCTTCATTCCTTCAGACTCACCTTGCAAATGGGTCAACCAAAGTGGCTGGTTGTGGTGCTCTGAGGCGATGGACAGAGTGTTAAGGGCAACAGTCAAGATCACCAACCAATAGAAGACCTTGGATTTCACTAAGTCATGGCATTTCCAGCGGAAGACACGGTTCCACTGCCTCCAGTGCCGGCTGTGGAAGGAGACAGAGGAGGATGGAGGCCAAGAGCTGCTTGGCTCTGAGCCCCACCTTTCTATGGTCACTTCCGGTCCAGTTCCAGTCACACCTGGTCTGATCACCCCCTCTCCCAGCCACAAGAGAGAAGCTAAAGGCATGAGCTGTAGAGCCTGACTGACTGAAAATCCAGCCCTCACTAGCAAAGTTCTTCATCTTTCAGATGATAATAATGACCTCCAAGGCAACAAAAAAAGATAATACAAGCAAAATGCCGAGCACAGTGCCTCTGTAGAACAGGTGCTCTACAGCTTCTGATTTCAATTAAAGTGACACCAAAACGCTGCATTTTGCCCATTACAAAGGGACTCCTTAATAAATTAAGCATGTCTGGGAAGGGTGTAAGGAAAGGACACTTTCATAGTACAGCCCTTTTTGTGAGCGATTTGGAAGCACTTACCAAAGTTTCAGCTCTGTGTGCCCTTTGACCCATCAATTCCATTTGTAGAATTCTGCCCAGATGAAATGGTCATACTTTCTCCTAATTATTTCCTGCAGTACTGTTTGTACTGGATGATTTTGTTCAAGCCCCCTATTTCCTGGTTTGTAAAACCAGGAAAGAATAATTAGATACATTATAATGCATCTGTACTGTGGAATATTTTACATCCAAAGATATATCAGAAAGGTGTGTCTGTTTATGTACATACACAGTGTGAAAATTGTCCTCAATAGATAATTTAAGTAAAAAATGTGTTATAAGATTATATGGATGTCATATTCATTTATTCAACAAATATTTAATACCTGCTACGTGCTGGGCACTGTTCTAGTGTCTACAGTGACTATAGTCAACATAACTAACCCCATTATGTAAAAAAAAAAACAGAAAAATCCCTCTGTGTGTGTGTGTGTGTGTGTGTGTGTGTGTATAAGAAAAGTGAAAATACAGAAAAGATCATGGAGGGATACGCATCTAACTGTTACCATGGTTACCTCTTTACAGGGCATCAGGGACCATCATCTTTTCTCTCATGCATTTCTCTACTGTTTCATCTTTCAAAAGTCATAATTATGTATGAATTTGTAAAAAGATATAGTCTACCAACCAAACAAAACCCTCCTCTTAAAACAAAGGCAAAAGAGAGCTGTGTTTCCTTATCTCCCACTCCTAGGCCAGGGTTGCCTCCTTCCTAGAAACATCTAGTTATACACCTGCCCCTCCTCCTCTGCCATCTCCTCTACCTTCCCTTTTCCCTCTCCAAGATTTCCAATATAAGTTACCCTGCCCAGCCAACCCCTCAGAGGGCAGCAGCCAAATGTGCTCTTGCCCCCAAATGCAGGCTCTGCATTCTTCCTTGAGTGATGTATAAATAGGTCACCTGCTCAGGGTCTGCTCTGGTTTGCATATTCCCTGGGCATCTGGTCACTGAAGAATCCTCAGAGTAAGAACTGACCCTGTTTTCTCAGAAAGGCTGCTTTTCCAAGGGCTCCAGGGGAGGTAACTAGATTTTTAGCCCCACGTCCCAGTAAGGTGGTTAGCTACTCACATGAACTGGATGACTTTGTTCAAGCCCTCGATTTCATATAGGCTCTCTGTGTCGGAGCCACCTTCATCCAAAGATAGTTTCCCTGGGGACAAGACAGATCTAGCTATAGTCAGCCAGACTTTAGGGCTCCTCTGTGCTGGACACCACTTTGGGTTAGGCACTCCAGACAGGATCTATGTGACAGTGAGTCCTAGGTGGGCTTGGTCCTTTTGTGCCTTCCTAAGGCCCAGATTCTCAAGAGCTGGAGAGCCCCATCTTCAGGGGACCTGGCCATGGTAGCTGGGCCTCGCCAAACTTTGGGAAGAGCCAGGGACACAGCTCTTAAGGTGCAAGTTTCAAGGCACTTCATTGCCCTCTGAGAGCAAAACATTGTACCCACTCAACGGGCCACTGGGCTTTGGGGAGGGTTAAATGGGACCATGCTTTCCAGGAAAGCTGACTGTGAGGTGCAGCTCAGCAGTGGGCAGGGGGCTGCCAACCATGGCCTCCGGGTCCAAACCTTCTCTCAAGTCTTCCACATCCATGACCTCGCCCTGCGTGATCCAGCTCATATAGCCTCGAAGGTCTTCCTCCAGCTGCTGCTTCTCCCGGAGCTTTTGGAAGGTCCCCCTGGACTTGGCCTTCTCTCGCTCCTTGGTGAATTCCCTGGAATAAACAGAGGAGGCAGGAAGGGAGAAGAATGACAAGGGACAGAGGGAGACTTAGCTTCCTTACGATAGAGAGGGCACATTCTGTGTCTGGACGCATCCCCTTCTGATCCGAGATGTCACCTGAGGGGTAACTCCTCTCAGTCCTTCCATTCCAGGCACAACTCTGACTTCGTTCCTCCCATCCCATCTCATTTTCTCCTATGTTGTCTTACAGTTACCCTTGGACATTGGGGGTTAGTGAAGAGCAGTCCCTCGCCCTAACGGAATTAGCCTTGACTCCTCAAATTTGCCATACTGCCTGACCCTTCTAGCTGTCCTGGCATGACTTCTGCTTACAGACCTAAGGCCTGAGGAAATCCTCCTGGGCCTAAGAGAAGCCAGGCAGCAGCACAGGAAGGAAAGGGCCTGAGGGTGGTGAAGGATCTTTAGACCAGCAGGGGGCAGCCCTGGGCCACTAAGCAGAGCCCCATGAGCACCAGGGGGAAGACAGCAGTGCAGCCCTGAGACGGACACAGAGACCAGGAGGGGTATGCCCACAGGTCACCCTGGTAGGACCATGTTCCCACAGATCCCTCTTCAGGATAATGTTGCATTATTGTGCACAAGATAAAACTAGCTTTCCAAAGGAACCAAATTATGTTAAAATAATTATTACAAATTAAATTATTAAAATTAAAATATTAAAAAGTTATTGAAATACATAAAATTCTGGTGGAGGCATATGTGTGCTTCTTCATTAACTCAGTAACTAGCAGATCTAGCTGCAGGTCCAGAAACTATCATAATTTCAAGGTAGCAATGAGTGTAAATAGTATTTGCAAGAACTGTCATGTGACTTAGGATTTCTTTCATGACAAGTTGCAAGCACCATGAATACTACTGTGGTGTGTCACCTCTGTCAAAAATAAAGGAAACACTTAGTTAAAAATAAAGATAAGCTTCTCCTAGCCAATTTCACAGACTCCTGTAATTCTGTCTTCAGGTTGCCTGGCAGAAGCTTCTGGGGTTGGTGGTGCCAATATGGAAGGAAGCCGCTGGCTGCTGCTGGCCTCTTCACTGTGGCTGCAGTAGGACCACAGCAGTGCTGCCCCACACCAAACAGTGCTTGTTAGTAATGACTTAATACTTGGCACTTTTATGCGCTGGATTGTGAACTAAGCATTCTGTGTGCATTTACTCATTTAACCCTCCCAACAACCCTATGAAACAGGTACTGAAATTATTGCTAGTTCACAAATGTGGAGGTTAATTAGACAAAGGTCTAATTAACCAAAGCTACCAAGCAGTAGTGCAGGGATTTAGATGGGCAGTCCAGTTCCAGTCTGTGTGCTTAATCCTAAAACTATACTGCCTCCTAGTGGCGAACATCCATTTAGACACACCCAAGGGTGGGAGATGGGGCTCAGGACTTTCACAGAGACGGAGTGCAAATGGAGAAGGACAGAAGGAAGCAAAAATGGGAGGCAATGAGGAGAAGGGAGGAAAATGAGAATTTGCTAACCAAGAATAGGTGCTCTTGGCTGAGCAGGGCTAATAGGGACCTAGGTATGAGCCGAGGTCCTGGCCCACACCTCCCTGCTCCACTCCACAACTTCCACGTCCTCCTCCAGCTACCTTTGTGCTTCTTACCCACTCAGGACGCCCAGCACCAGGTTGAGGATGAAGAAGGATCCGAGCAGAATGAGGGTGACGAAATAGATCCAGGGCCACTCATTCCCAATGGCATCATTGACCTGGTTCAGACAAAGGTGTGAGTCCTGTCCTCTGACTTGAGGGCTCAATTTCTGTCCCCAAGTCTGTCCTCTAAGACTCTACTCAACTCTGGGGACAGGGAGAAGAGCCATTTGGGCCCAGAAAGGAGAATTTTTCTAGTCCAAGCACCAGGATTTAGGCTGAAAGGACCTCTGAAGGGGAACTTTGCTGATGTGGCACAAGCTAGAGTGACCTATTGTCCCTCCAGTCAAAGACCATAGGCTCAATTTGCACATGGATGCCAGCTTCAGTTGGTCTCTTTACAGCCAAAGTTTTTCTGAATGAATAACTCTGTGACTCTAGACAAGTCACCTAATATCACAGAGCATCATCCCTTGTGTCTGGTAAGGCTAATGACACATCTCTCCCCTCACAGGCTTGCAGCAGAGGTGAAATGACATGTGTGACATTCCTTTGACATGTTTAATAATTTGCTTCCCTAATATGAGCTTACAAGAAATATTCATCTTAATCCCTTATATCTGCAAAGCATTTGACAGTGCTGCAATCCCCCCATACACACAGGCAGTGCCTCACTGTGATTAAGGTTCTGGATCACAGCCAGATGGATTAGGGATCAGTTCTTGACTCTGTTGTTCATTAGGTTCATAACATGGGTTATTTAACCTCTCTGAGCCTCAGTTTCCTCATCTTTAAAATGGGAACAGTGCCTTCCATTGTTGGAAAATTAATAAGAAATGCATCCGAGCTCCTAATCAACAACAAATAAATATTGAACTCCAACAAGAAAACTCTCATAGAGCATTGAATCTGTGCCAGACACTATTACAATTCAGTTAACCTTCCCACTAACTCTAGGCTGTGAGCAGTATTATAACTTCACCTTACAGATGAGGAGACTGATAAATAGACATATTTATATGGGAAAGCAGTCTTGCACACGGAAAGAGTAAGTCTCAAGGAGCCACTCATCCCGCAAGCGTCTGGAATGCAGGTAAGAATCACTGACAGCCAGGCCTAGGGAGAAGCTCAGGACTGAGACAAGAGCCCGTGAAGCTCCTGGATTCCATGCCTCATCCCCCTCGTGGGTCCTGCACAGACATGTTGCACCATGGGACTGCCTCAGACAATGCTGAGACACCACCTAGGGCCAAGAAGGAGGCTATGCACCTGCAAAAGTGCTTGGAGGTGAGGAGGGGTGGCAGCCAGTGCTGGCCATGCCCTCCTTGCCCACTTCCCTAGGGAACCTACAGAAAGGGGAATGGTTGCAGACGCCCCAGCCCAGACCCACCCAGTACAAGACATCAGTCCACCCTTCCATGGTGATGCACTGGTACACGGTGAGCATGGAGAAGCCGAAGTTGTCAAAGTGGGTGATGCCATGATTGGGCCCGGCCAGCCGCCCCGGCACTCGCTGCCATTGATGGTACATGGGCGCCCAGACCAGTCCGGGCGCAGGGTGAAGGCTTCTCATTTTCCACCGTGGCCACGATGTCTGGAGGCAGAAGGTGGGGTCAGCATCAGACAATGATGGTAGGTAGCCAATAACAGGTGAAAAGTTTAAGAGAACGGAGCAACAGGTGTAAAGACACGTGCAGGTGAAGATCTGCTTTGCAGAGCAGCTGACTGCAGATGGAGGGAGGCCTGGAGCGAGGACTGGCAGTAGCTATAGGCAGCAGTAATTATGTCGTAGGTCCCAGGGCCTCTTTGGAGTATCTGTTTCTGGGATGAATCGTCCTATGCAGCAGGAGGGACAGGTGTGGCTTTTGTGGCACAAGCTAGAGTGACCTATTGTCCCTCCAGTCAAAGACCATAGGCTCAATTTGCACATGGATGCCAGCTTCAGTTGGTCTCTTTACAGCCAAAGTTTTCTGAATGAATAACTCTGTGACTCTAGACAAGTCACCTAATATCACAGAGCATCATCCCTTGTGTCTGGTAAGGCTAATGACACATCTCTCCCCTCACAGGCTTGCAGCAGAGGTGAAATGACATGTGTGACATTCCTTTGACATGTTTAATAATTTGCTTCCCTAATATGAGCTTACAAGAAATATTCATCTTAATCCCTTATATCTGCAAAGCATTTGACAGTGCTGCAATCCCCCCATACACACAGGCAGTGCCTCACTGTGATTAAGGTTCTGGATCACAGCCAGATGGATTAGGGATCAGTTCTTGACTCTGTTGTTCATTAGGTTCATAACATGGGTTATTTAACCTCTCTGAGCCTCAGTTTCCTCATCTTTAAAATGGGAACAGTGCCTTCCATTGTTGGAAAATTAATAAGAAATGCATCCGAGCTCCTAATCAACAACAAATAAATATTGAACTCCAACAAGAAAACTCTCATAGAGCATTGAATCTGTGCCAGACACTATTACAATTCAGTTAACCTTCCCACTAACTCTAGGCTGTGAGCAGTATTATAACTTCACCTTACAGATGAGGAGACTGATAAATAGACATATTTATATGGGAAAGCAGTCTTGCACACGGAAAGAGTAAGTCTCAAGGAGCCACTCATCCCGCAAGCGTCTGGAATGCAGGTAAGAATCACTGACAGCCAGGCCTAGGGAGAAGCTCAGGACTGAGACAAGAGCCCGTGAAGCTCCTGGATTCCATGCCTCATCCCCCTCGTGGGTCCTGCACAGACATGTTGCACCATGGGACTGCCTCAGACAATGCTGAGACACCACCTAGGGCCAAGAAGGAGGCTATGCACCTGCAAAAGTGCTTGGAGGTGAGGAGGGGTGGCAGCCAGTGCTGGCCATGCCCTCCTTGCCCACTTCCCTAGGGAACCTACAGAAAGGGGAATGGTTGCAGACGCCCCAGCCCAGACCCACCCAGTACAAGACATCAGTCCACCCTTCCATGGTGATGCACTGGTACACGGTGAGCATGGAGAAGCCGAAGTTGTCAAAGTGGGTGATGCCATGATTGGGCCCCGGCCAGCCGCCCCGGCACTCGCTGCCATTGATGGTACATGGGCGCCCAGAGCCAGTCCGGGCGCAGGGTGAAGGCTTCTCATTTTCCACCGTGGCCACGATGTCTGGAGGCAGAAGGTGGGGTCAGCATCAGACAATGATGGTAGGTAGCCAATAACAGGTGAAAAGTTTAAGAGAACGGAGCAACAGGTGTAAAGACACGTGCAGGTGAAGATCTGCTTTGCAGAGCAGCTGACTGCAGATGGAGGGAGGCCTGGAGCCGAGGACTGGCAGTAGCTATAGGCAGCAGTAATTATGTCGTAGGTCCCAGGGCCTCTTTGGAGTATCTGTTTCTGGGATGAATCGTCCTATGCAGCAGGAGGGACAGGTGTGGCTTTTGTGCCTACCAAGCTTTAAAGAGGGAGCCACTGTCTGGCTAGAGTGGGGTGAGGGGTTGGGGCTCACATGTTCTGACCTGAGAATTCTGCCTGAGGGGCCAAAATGGAGATGCTACAACAGCACTGGACTGAGCTGTGCAAGACACAGATTCTCAGCTGGCAGGGAAGCTGGCTGCTTTGGGACTTTAACTCAAAGTCCTCTGTGCTCTCCAGGAGCTGCTTTTGTTGTGGCTAAACTCCCGCAATTCTGACATCCCAGATCCCCTTTTATCTTAGGATGTTTGACAGCCTCCCTCTGTGTTCAGAGATTACATTAGCTCATCAGAACCAGAATGCCCTGCCCTCTAGCTCAGTGCTCTGGAGATGAGATGGGGAAGACAATGACGGTTGAAGGAGGTACCCCTGACCCTGTGAAATCAGAAGTCCCAGTCTTCAATGGGCTTTTGAACACTACTTCTCAGTATTTGTCAAGGCCTCATGAGGACATGGACTGGTACCTCCAAATTTGGGCTAAAGGTTGTGATCAACAGTCCCTTGCTATCTGCCTGATAATGTTTATTCTAGGATGTAGACTGTTACAGCAATGGGAATGATACAGGAATTAGGGAGCTAAGAAACCTAATGGTAGACAATGGTGGCCTGGATGTTGATAAGGAGTCACATCCTGAACTGCTGACATTAACAGAATGACTTGTGATGTACAGCAGGGTCTTGCTGACCCACAGCTCTTAGAGCCCACAAAAAAATTATAGCCCCATTCTAACAATCCAAGGCTAAGACATCCCCCTCCCCAACATGTGGGAGGAATTGACGATACATAGACCAGTCTCCAGAAGTTACTGGCACATAGCCCAGTTCTCCAGGACTGACCACTCTCATGTCCACAAACCCCAATAAAAGCTTGAGGTTTTGGGACTGCCAGCCCAGTGCTCCCTTTGAGCCTGCCCACCCTCCCATCTGGAAAGTGTACTTTTGCTTTGCTTTGCATTAATAAGCCTACTCCTCCTCAAATCTCCTCTGGTCATCCTTGAATTCTTTGTCTGACAAAGACCAAAGAATTTCTGGCACATGTTCTTTTAAAGGAAATTAACAAATTAATAAGACATTCGTCTCAGTTTTCATTTCTAATACCATGAATATCAAACCTGGATAAACAAAAGCTATTTGGGGTCCTCATAACTTTGTAAGACTGCAAAGGGGTCCTGAGGCCAAAAACTTTGAGAACTATTGGAAATGTCAGTAAGTTTCACCTTTGGCTCTTGGGTGTTTTCTTGAGGTCTCATTCAGACCATACCTTGTAGGTCTGATCTGAGAGGCAGCTCAGACAGAAGCTCCACTATGGCTACATTGGAAAGGTCAAAGAGAAATTGAGGCTTATCCCAAGCCTGTGTCTCAATCTATACTAGACCAGGAAGCCTGGAAGTCACCACATTGTATAGAGAACAAGCTATGGCCCATTGCCAAGGTTAACAGGAAGAGGAAGCAATGGCCTCCCCGGGGAGTTTCTTTACAAGCTGTGGTGGCCTCCCATTGTGTGTGGTCCTTGGATCTCTCCCCTGCACAGTCCTCCAGGACTCACCTGTCCCAATGAAGTAGCAGGTCTTGTGCATCTTGCCCTTGAAGAGCTCCAGTCCAATGATGGCATAGATGATGACCATGAAGAGGACGAGCAGGGCAATATGGAACAGGGGAAGCATGGCCTTGAAGATGGAGTTGAGGACCACCTGCAAGCCTGCCACAGTGGACAGGAGAAGGAAGGAGGAGTCACCCCCTGCCTTGGTCTCATGGCCCTCTCCTTCTCTAAACCCTGGGAAGCCTATAGGACACCATGTTGGAGGGGGGTGGCACAGGGGAAAGGAGAAGGTTGGGAGGGAAGGAAGGGGTCTGCAGCAGCCCTGCCACCCACTGGGCACCCCCGACACCAGCCGGAGGGGTCTGAGCACGCGGAAGGCTCTCAGGGCCTTGACGTCCAAGCCAGCTCCTTTGCTGCTCAGCGGGGTCGTGTTGCTTTGGATGACATTAACCTGTTCCAGAATCGCTGTGAAGACCCTGGAGTGGAGATGATGGAGAGAAGGTTCCAGTGGTCAGTAAACCAATGGTCCCAGTAGTCCAGGACCCATGTCCCATCCATGTTCGGGGGACTCAGGAGAAGAGGGAAAATATGGGTCACCCACTGCTAACTGATGACTAGGTCATGCCTGGGGGAAATATTTATTGAAACAGATTCTGAGGCCAGGTTCAGACTCAACGGATACAATTGTGATCCATTTGTCAGGTCCACTCAGGATGCTGATTTCCAGACTTCTGTTTTTCTCTTTGTGTGAAGGTCTCCTAATCAGCAGAGAACCAAGTTTTTACTGAACTGAAGGATAGCATAGTGGTTAAGCATTTCGCCTTGGAGCCAAGACTGCCTTGGTTTGAGTCCTCATGCTGCCACCAGCTAGTTGTGTGACCTTGGGCGAGTTCCCTGATTTCTCTGTGCCTTAGCTTCCTTATCCATAAAATGGGGAAAACAAGAAGGTTGTTGGAAGAATTAAATGAGATGTGACGTGCAGTGCACATAGTAAGTGCTCGATAAATGCTGCTGTTATAACTAGGTGGTGGCTACTAAAGGTAATGGTATGTGCTGAACAAAATTCATATGGTGAAATTCTCACCCCAAGTATGTCAGGACTGTCTTTGGAGACAGGGAATATAAAAAGGCAATTAAATTAAAGTGGTCAGCAAGGCAGGCTCTGATCCAATTTGACTGGTGTCCTTATAAGGGGACACGGGAAACTGAACCTGCCTGTACCTTGTCTTTGGACTTTCAGCCTCCAATTCAAGTCACTAAAGTCCATTTTTGTGAACTCAAGTAATAGGTACACAATAAAGGTCTGTGGAATACATGAACAACCGACAAGGGTGAGAAGGATGAACCTCCAGAAACACACTTCCCCTTCCAGGTGATGGAACAAGATGGAGGAGCTTATAGCACCCAGCTGGGCAAGGGGCTCTAACCTGCTGGCAGGTGGGGAAAGAGGTCGGTGTTTCACTCTACACGAACACTGATGCCCTTCTAGCGGAGGCCGCTCTATGGCTGCGGTCAACACACTGCTGGGGATCCCCCTCCCAACTTCTGGGATGTCTGAGTGGATCTGACTCCAGTCTTCCCAACCCCCTCCCAGTCCTCACCCCAGGAAGACGATGGTGAAGTCCAGCACATTCCAGCCACTGCGCAGGTAGGCATCCTGGTGGAATAGGAAGCCATAGGCAATGATCTTCATGGCAGCTTCAAGGGAGAAGATGATGAGGAAGAAATACTCCAGTTTCTCCTGTAGGAGCAAACGTGGTCACGCCTCTCCTCTGTGCACTCCCAACACCCTTTGCTCCATCCTCCAGACACTGGATCCCCACCGCCCCTCAGCACACCTGCCTCAGGGCCCTTGCTCTTGCTATTCCCCCTGCAGGGTCCCACCCCCAGCATCCCCACCACCACCCTTCCCCACACTGCCAGCTTCCTCACTTCCAGTAGGTCTTTACTCACTGAGACCTTCCCTGCCACCTTTGAGTCACCTCCATTTCCCGTTCCTTTTCCTAGCTACATTTTACTTACCCTAAGTCTTCTTAGCACTTAACTCCTAACTAAAATGCCATAGACACATTCTTACTGTGTTCAATATCCCTCTTCCTCACTAGAATATAAACTCCACCAAATGTGAGGATTTCTGGGGTTTTTTTTTTTCATTACTTCCAGGGCCTAAACCTAGACAAATAAATGAATGATCCAAGGCAGAACCCAAGACCAAATTCCACAGGTGGCTCCCATCTGGGCTTCTTTCTTCTCCCTCCTCCTAGTGGACTGATGGTAGGAGGTAAGGGTGGACCTCTCTGCACTCCAGATGGCCCTCACTTCCCAGTCAGGGTCTTGCTCTCTAACTCAGTTTCCTGGTACTTCCCTGCCCACATCAGCTGCCTCCAGACAGCCCCCATTTGGCAGGGTGATCTGAACATGGGGTACACTGTGCATGGGGAGGCCTTGCAGGTAAGAGACTAAGATTCCAGCTTAGCCCACCCTGCTGAAGGCCTTGCTGACTCCTCCAGGCCCTGCCCATGTAGCCTGATCCTCTGGGTCACCCTATGCCTGGCCAGGTCACCCTTCCACTCCTCTTGGCTTAAGCAATTTCTATTTCTAACTGAGAAAGCAGGTCCTTCTGTCAGAGCTCCAGGCTGAAACTGCTCTGTTCTTTGCCATCTGAACCCTAACTTGGTGGCTTCCAAGAGCTCTGGTTCCCCAGCTCTCCCCAGACAAGCTCAGTCTCCCCAGGGTGGTATCAACCTGGCCTGTGGCCTGGGCCAGGCTGCAGTGCTTCACAATCCTGGAAGTGACTAGGCTGGTACCCCACAGAGCTGTGCCTCAAGGGGTTTTAAGCCCATAGTCCAGTCCCCCATCACCGTTAGCCACCAGTGCCCATACCTAGGAAAGCACCTTAGGACCTGGTCCTCTCTCCGTCAGCACCCTGTGGAGGCCTAACTCATTTTATGTTGGCTATCCCTTCACTCTGAGCAGAGCCAAACTGAGTACCTGGTCACCTTATTAATGATTTGGAAGGTAGTCTATTTTTAATTCCAGGGGGGTAGATGTGAGAGGAAAGGGAAGGAAAGAGTTCTCCAAATGGCTCATTAATGTGGATATGGCCCCAGAAATCTCCAAAGCAGTTATTCAGAGAATTTTCCTAAGCATCATTTCTCCTTCCATAGGGAAGGGGAAACTGAGGCATATATGAACTAGACCTGTTCTCCTTAACCTCATCCCCAATTCCTTCCACCAGTTTGTAATCTCAGAGCTTTCTCCTTCTTCCAGAAGTGGCAGTGTAGTGATTAAAATGCAAAGCCTTTCTTCAAAGGGGCCTGTTGCTAGGGGCCTGGTTTAGTATCAGGTGGAGAAACCCCTCTGTACAAGGGAACCGTGACAGTGACAGGAGGTGGGAACAGCTGTGGATCTCCTGGGAGTCAGCTAGGTGGTCTATCCTCTGCAGTTCAGGCTTCTGGGAGTGGGGCCCACCAATCAAGCACAGGCTTGAAGTCAAGTCAGCATGTACATTTTCAGGTTGCTGCAACAGGAGAGGTCAGGTTGAGGGGAGGGAAAACAGGACCCAAAATAGTTGCCGTGCTCACAGGCTGGGCAGTGGGCCATGTACACTGGAAAGCTGCCCACACCTGCCGCTGCCTATCCAGCGGCTACTGCTTGGCTCAGAGCAAGCTTGTCAGGGGCTGTGGGCCTCAGAAGGGGTCACTTGGGTTTCACAGCCCTCAGCTTCAAGGCCCAACTCTGTTTACCACCACCTCACAGTCTAATCCTCGGTGCATGTAATGACAACACATTGCTGTTGGACCCTGCGTGTGCACGCAGATGACTCCTGCCCAGGCAGACATGGCCCACGGACATGTCCACTCTTGTGACACAGGAACAGCAGCAGCAATATCACACTGCGCTGACCCTATGGCCTCTCCAGCCCTGGCTCAGTCTTGCACAGAGGAACGAAGGATATGTGTTCCACAGATATTTATGAAGCTCAGGACTGGATCCCTGGAAAAGGCCTGGCTGTCATCCTGACATCAAAGTCATCAGCCTTCCCAGAGCACCCCAGATTCTGTCAGGACCCCTCAAGGGCCTGCCATCACCACGGGAGACAGTGGGTACATGGCATAAGACTTCATCTTGGCTCTGTGCCATTGCTCAGGTTCCTAAGCTTCTGTGAGCCTCAAGTTCCTTGTCTGCAAAGTGGAGATAATGAAAACTGCCCTGAGCAGTAAACGGCAGCCTGTGAGCGAGTGTCCACCGTTGTCCAGCGGGGAACCTCACAGCTCGGTACCTCACAGCTCGTCTTGCTCAACACCTGACCCTCTGTGGAAGGGTGCTTTCTGCTTGTGTCCTGTTCCGTTGGCTTTCCTGGTATTCTATTGGCCTTCAGAAGGCTGCTGGATGAGGTCATGTCTGTGGGTGACTCACCAGGGCTCGGCTCTGTCCAGCCTGAACTCAACATGTTTGAACCTGAACTCCTCTTCCCCTTGAACCTGCCCCCGTCCTCATGTGTCCCTGCCTCTGCCAATGGCACCATTCACCCACACCAGACTCCAGGGGTCTTTCTGGAATTGGGTCCCACCATCTGCTAGGCCCAGCCCTTTCTGCCCCTAACACCTGATACATCTATCTTTTCCCCTAGTGGCTCCCTCTCCCTGATTTGACTCACTCACTGCCTTCAACACCTCTTCCTCCTAGTGCCTCTCTACACTCATTTAGCCACTTCCTGGCTTCCTGGTCAGCAATGGCTCACTAGGTAAACCCTGTGACCTGATCTCTGCTCACTCTGAACTCTGACCTCACCAGTGGCCTACTGGCCACCTGCTTGTCAGGTGGAATGACCTTAAGATTCCCCAGCCACTCTTGGCACTGCTGCCTTTGCTCACCTAGGCCAGGTAACTATCCCCAAGGCCCACCAGCCATGCAGACTTCTCATCTCAAAGCACTGTTATGAACTCCACAGGAAGCATCTACCCGTATGTTGTTCTCTGCATCTCCCCTGTCTTCAGTCAAACTGCAGCCTCCTAGTGACCAAGTCATTCTCTTATATCCTAATTGTGGGGTGCCCCTTGGTATTCCTGCCCTATGAACAGGTAAGATCAGACATTTCCTCACTGGTAATAGTATTTGGGTAGGGGGTCAGGCGCTCTCAAAGCTCCTGGAAAACAGCATATCCCTTACCCTCCCACTGCCTTAATTTCCATTTCTGAGGGGCATCCAGTGCCACTGCTTCTCCACCCAGCATGCATTGCGCTTTGTGGGAGATATGGGAGCTGGCCAGGCAATCCTCCAGAGGGACTGCCCAGCACAGTCCCCCTGTCTGGTCCGCAGGTGCACCTGTCCCCATTCCTCTGTCCCAGGCAATTCTGCCCCAAACACTATGATCTGGTCTGGACTTCTGTCTCCTGGGCCACCTGTATCCCCCTTGGCCACCTTGTCTCTCTGGGATCTATAAAGCCCACAGAAAGGACCTTAATGGACTTCCCTTGGAGAAGCTGAGAGAGGCATCAGAGAGCTGCTGGAGGAGGGCTCCCTGGGCAAGGGACAGGGAGCAGGGGCCCTACTGCCACATACTGCTCAAACCTGGGCCTGAGTCTCCTTTCTTAGGGGCCAGGCACAAGACCTGCATGAATACAACCTTTCTGCTATGGGAGGTGAGGGCCTGTTAGCTTTAAGGAGGTGACAGGGGGTTTGGATGCTGCTGGCTACAGCCCAGGCTTGGGGTGGGGTAGGGGACAGGCATGTGCATCTCCACACATCCCTTCTCTACCAGGGCCTTCCTGCAGGTGCTCTGGCAGGCTGGACAGGTACAACCACAAGAAGACACTTCTGCAGCAGTAAAGGCTGCTTGCTTTCTGGCTTCCCCCGTTTCTAGTTCCTCCAGGCAGACAGCAGCTAGGCCTTGCCTGGGTTCCTGGCCTAATGAGGGTGCAAGGACCTGAGACTCTATGGCCTTAGCACTATCTGAGGCACACCCCAGGTCAGGCAGGTGACTGCAAGCACCAAGAACAATCTCAGTTGAGACTGTCTGAAGCCTGGGGTGGGGAGACAGGATTCAAGTGAAGTGAGTTGGTGAGAAAGATAAGGCACTTCTTGGATCCTTCAGGTGTGGACTGAGGGTCAGTACCACCACAACACTTTTTCTGTTTCACAGATGAGAACAAAGGGGGGGAAAGCAGGTGTCAGAGACTTTGGAGCCCAGCCCCACCTGCTGACCCAAGTCAGCTTTGCTGGTGAGCCAGCCTGGTGTGCTGCCACTGCAGCCACCCTGTCCACTTAAGCTTCAGGTCTGGTATCTTCCTCAGCCCCCAGGTTTGGAAAACAACCAGCTGAGGAGTGAGGGAAGCAGCTATATTTAGCCCAATGAACCCAAGCCCAAGTGACTGTGACTAGAGTGGGTCTCTCCTGCCATGCTGTCTCCAAGGGGGATCTTTGTTCCCTCTTCCCTCCTCCACACTGGAAACCCAGCTCCCTCTGTTTGGAGTGGGCAGACATGCCAGCACTGTTAGGACATGGAGACAGGGGACTGAGAGTCACAGGCAGAGCATCCATCCTGGGAGTGGTGGGAGACCAGCGCCATCTTGGGTAGTAATGACAATAACAGCTGAGCGTTATTAAGCACCCACTTACTTTGCAAGGCCTTACTCTATTCACATTCATACACTGAATCCTCACTGAAACTCTGGGTGATAAGTATTCTTATCCTCATTGTACAAATGAGGAAACGAAGCACAGAGAGGTTGAACAATT